TACGAAATTTTTCATCGGTCCAACCATCGCACAACAATGTGCATCCTCTTCTTTTTCGTTCATCTTTATATTTCTCCATGGAGTTTTTGACATGCTTAACTTCATCCATAAGGTAGAAACTTTTACCTCATGATAAGAAGGAAGCTTCAAACATTTACCATATTCCCCAACCGACTTCAACATTTGAGTAAATAAGGGGCTTCTCACCAAGTTGAAAGGTAGATCATTACCATATATGCATCTAAATATGTCACGAATCATTGACTCTCTATCTTTCAGTGCTCTATTCATCGTTGTTTGTTTCAAAGTAGCTACATTTTTAGAGAAAAATGGATGTAACCCTCCTCTTTCTTTGCCGACATCTTCGACTATTTCTTCATCCAAAAAATATTTGCCTTATTCTTCATTTTTTTGCTATTTAACAGTTTAGCAAATATTTCCCTTACTTCATCTGGAACCTTCTCACAAATGATACACTCAGTACGTATTCCGGCAAAATGATGTTTCATTCGTGAACGCCACCCCAATAATCTTAATTACAATAATTACATCGAGAATGTTTCGTTTCTAAAGATCAACGACTGGACAATGGTTCCATGCAATATCCTTACTTCCTCATTTTTTAGGAGCCATTACAATCCAAAACACACAAAAGTCAATACAACCATAAAATATATTTTTTTATGAAAAAGTATGGGTGAAAAATGCACAAACCACCAAAAATATGCTGGAAAATACAAGATTCATCGCAACAATGCTGAAAATTGCACAAACAAACCACAATTAATGCCGAAAGTTGCAAAAAAAAAAAAAAAAAAAAAACAACCCAACCAATGCTGAAAATAGCACAAAAACCCCCAACTAAGCTGAAATGTGAACCAATCACCACAAATCAATGAGCCCATCTCGAATTGAACAAACCCATGACAAAATCGAACAAACCCAACCCCAATTGGACGGAAATATAAAGAAATAAGGCTCTAGGTCGCAAGCTCGTTCCAATTCCGCGAAACCCAGTCAAAATCGTCCTTTGAGCTGGTCTTGAATCTCAAACAAATAGCAAGATTGAATCAATAGAAATTGAATTTTAGAGTAGAGATATTGTGAGGATTGTTGAAAAAATTGTAGAGAAAAGTGTGAATCATGGTTCGGATGTGTTACTTAGAAGCACCATCAGTGTTTGGAAACTTTTTAGAAAAAAATCTTAATTTTTAAAAGGTTTATGAGGCATAACCCCATTACAAAAAAACATTAGGACTAGCCACCTATCATTATTTTAAATAGGTCAAATCCCCTCATATTTTCTAATAGCAATGACCCCCACCGTTTTCTCCCAAATCAACAAATCTTCAACCATTTATTCAATGTAATATCTCCCCAAATTTCCGCTAGTATGCTATATTTCTTCCAAGAAAATCGCAAAACAATCTGCAAAAGATATACGATCCTTTCCCGATTCTAACAATACCCTAGTTTGTTACATTTTTTCACAAAAAGAAAAAAACTGACATTTGTGCGAATTGCAGAGAAATAAATGTCGACAACAATGGTGAAAACTGGCAAATCGAAGACATGTAGTTTCCTATACATTTATGGCTCCCCTCCACTTCTATTAAACTAATTTCTGTAGTTTCACAACATAATTTATGTTTTTTCACCATTCTCAGCGACTTCGAAGGACAAATTGAAGTCTCCAACAAAAACTTTATGCAACGGTAAGTTTGAAATGGACAATCGATTTCACTTAGATTTGTTGCAGATTTAATAGTTTTTTTGATTAATTATGTTATTTTTCATACACGAATCACTAAAATTTTTCCTAATATCAGTGACGCAGAACTCGAAGAAACGTGATGCCATATGCGACGGTTCGAAATTCTTCCATGTTTGATTACTCAAGAATGGAGTTTGTAAACAAGCTTGTTTTATAGATCTACAAATTCATGGTGGCACTATTTGTTGACTCGTAAATATTTATTTTCTATGAAATTTATTTTATTAGAGTTCACAACAAAGAAGAGATCATTGTTGTGCCGAAAAACATAAAATACTGTAGTCATCTACACCCAAAGTCAATTATAAAAACCAGGTAGTTCACTATATTGTTCCCAAAGTTAACTATAAAAATTAGATAGTCAGTTATGTCAACCATAAAAAATTGGTAATGAACTATTTCCTCCGTTCCTAAATAAGTGTCGTTTTTCACTTTTCACAAAGATTAAGAAATTCAATTAATGTATCTTGATTTTAGGAAAATCACATAAAATGACTAAAACAACCTTTATCATTTAATGATTTATAAGAGATAATTAATGTTTAGAGATGCATTAATAAGGTTAAAACAGTAAAAATGCATTTAATGCAATATTGAAAGTCTAAAGTGACAGATAATATGGAACAAAAATATTTTTAAAAAGAGAAAGTTATTTTGGAACAGAGGGAGTATAAAATATGGGTAGAAACTATATTGCTGCCAGAGTCAACTACAAAAATTAGATAGTCAACTAATTTTGTTCCGATGTCAACTATAAATTTTTCATTAATTCACTATATTATATTTCAATTTAAGATACCATGGTATTCTAAAATTGAATATTGACGATAAAAATTTCATCTCCGGTGAAAACATGAAAATTTCATAGAGTAGAAAATACATTGATTTCAAAGACCGAAAAATGAGATGTAGAAGAAAAGTTAAAGTAGTGAGAATAAATAGAGAAAAATAAGAAACAAACGAGAAGAGAGGAAATGGTGAGGGAGGGAGAGAGAGAGAGAGAGAGAGAGAGAGAGAGAGAGAGAGAGAGAGAGAGAGAGAGAGAGAGAGAGAGAGAGAGAGAGAGACGTCAAAAGTGAGGAAAAAAGAAAGAGAGAGAAATGAATGAAAAATATAAAATGTTGGATAGGAGAGAAATAAGGAGAAGAGAGAAAAAACAGGAGAAAAATATGGACAAAAAGGGCATAATGGGCATTAATATAAGCTTAAGGGATCACACAATTCAGAAAATATTATATGGGTTTGTTTACAAAGTGTCAATTATAAATTGGGTCAGACTCTATTGTTTTACCTAATGAGGGGGTTATCCCATATTTTTCCTTTTTAAAACATAAGTTGTTGGAGAGAAAATAGAAAAATTACAATTTATATCCCTAAACTTTACAACTAAAACGATTTATGTCCTCAATTTTTTTCATCCAAAATATATGTCCTCAAACTTGGCATTTTTTAACAATTTATGTTCTGCCGTCAACTCCGTCAGTCAACTTGGACGGAAATATCACGTGTAGCGCACGTGATGTCGATCTGGCTGACACTCCGAGATAATGTGGCCGAAAAACATGACGTGGAGTGACATGTGGTTCTCTTCCTCTATTTCAACTTTAAAATTCCCAATTTGTTATAATAATCCCCAATTTCTCATTCCCCTATTTCATTGAACCGAAAGCAGAAACCCTAACCCCCAAATTGTACTCATATTCTACAACACATAATTTGATTGAAATCGAAACTACCACCTCCCAAATTCCCAAAACGAAGTTCAAAGATATCAGCTTTGATGAAATTTACCAAAATCAAAAATCGTTGCTCTATTGCGATGTTCCAGCTCCACAAATATTTGAAATTTACGAAATTACGGTCGGACAATCTTTTTGTTGCGGAATTTCACCTCAATTTAGGAGGTATGGTTTATGCATTCGCATCAATGAAATAGGGGGATGAAAAATTGAGAATTTTAAAATTGAAATAGAGGGAAAACACCACATGTCACTCCACGTAATTTTTTTGGCCATATCATCTTAGTGTGTCAGCCATATCACCATCTAACAGTCAGATCGATATCACGTACGCCACACGTGATATTTCCGTCCAAGCTGACTGAGGGAGTTAACGGCAGAACATAAGTTTGTTAAAAAATGGCAAATTTGAGGACATACATTGTTTTATTGGTAAGGTATAGGGACATCAACTGTAATTTTTCCAGAGAAAATACGATATTTTTTTAAAAGTACCTCTACCTCATATTTTTATTTAAGTCTTATAATGAGTAAAAAGACAGATAAACTCATAACTCGAACATTTTAAAAATTAATTCTCAAAATAAGATGTAATAACTTATCAACTCTTAAAACACATTATCTAATATAAGGGCTTTATCAGTTATTTAAAATAATTTTAGCCAAACGGATCTTAAATTTATGGTTTGAACGATCCTCCATTTATTGAACTTAATATTCATATTATCACATATGAATATCTCAAATTTGATATCTTCCCTTCTGAATTGAATATTTGAATTGATATATCAAATAGACTATGGCCATGCAAACAAGACTAACAGACACCGAAAATAAGCGCTTACTTCGCCATGAAAAAAATGCTACTAATGAGTAGTGCCATATACTAATCAAATGGAGCTTCTTTCTTTCATATCCATTAAAATACAATTCAAGGAGAACTCGTTCGTCTTCGTAGTGTAAGCTCATAAATAAAACAAACATATATTTATTCTTTTTTTACTGAATTCAATGAAGTAACCCGCAGCCAATCATATAGGTGCACTGGGTAACCTACACTCTCGTATAATAGCTTGCAAACCATACGAGAGATGTAAACCACACTAGGTTAACCGTGTGTGACAAGCTCGACCTAGCGACCGTTGACAAAGGAATTCGAACCTGAGTCAATTGACAATGCTCACTTGCTCCAACCGTAAGGCCATCCCTTGCAGGACAAATATAATACATCTCCAGGATAGTTAAGTTAGAGAATAATCAATTCAATTTGTTGAGATACATGTGCTTCAAGCCTTTGTTTCACGTAATTCTTTACAACTTGTTTCTTTGATTGATGGGCATTGTGGTACACGGTTAACTGTCTAGTTGTACCAAGATTGGTGCTAGGCGTTCTCGACTTATCCGCGGACTTACGATCATATCCATGCGGGCGGTGTATTTAGCATATATCAGGACAGGTATAATTATAAACTCACTTTTTTTTTTTCTTCCGTAAAGTTTTGTGCGGTTGAAGATGAATGTTGTTTGATGAAGGTGCGATATTACGTACATTTTACTTGAGATGGATAGAATCCTACGGCCAGAAGGGACGGTGATATTTAGAGATGTGGTGGAAGTATTGGTGAAGATAAAGAGTATAACAGATGGAATGAGATGGGAGAGTAAGATTGTTGACCACGAAAGCGGACCGTTTAACGTCGAGAAAATTCTTTTGGCCACAAAGACTTACTGGACTGCTGAATCCAACCCTCAAGGATAGCAGTGAAAATTTCGAGTCTTCAATAATTCACCTTAGATTTCTTTGTCTTGGGGGACTTTTATTTTTTTGTTTTATTGTTTTTTAAGACAATTAGTTTGCTGGTAGAATGATTTTTTTGTCATGTTTCTAGAATAATTTCGTTAGCAACATTCATATTAAAAGCGCTTACATGATTCGATTTAATACAATTTTTACAACAAAATGTAGTCGTGAACTAGGCCAAAATGCAAGACTGCCGACGAAAATAAGGCCATTGCAACAAAATCTATGGCTTTGCGACTAAAGAAAATGGTCGAAAACTTGATCCAAAACAGTCCCATGGGCTGCGACAAACACCATCTTTCAACGCAAGATATGCGACGGAACAAATAAATCATCGCAAGCTTAGCATTTTTGGAAAAAAAAATTCTTTTTTTTTTTACTCAGTTGCGACAAATTATAGCGTAAACATAATAGAATAAATAATTGCTTTTTAATGAAGAAAATAAATGCAACAAATCAAAGGTGAAGTTAAAGAATAAGAATAACCAATTCAATTTGCTAGTTAAAGAATAACCAATTCAATTTGCTGAGGTACTAGTTCTCTAAGGGGTTTCTCCTCAGAGTATAATTTATCGAACAATGATGCAGAGCTATATAATTTATCGTAACATGTCTCGATTAATACTTTCTCAAGCGCGACACAGTTCTCAATCATGTACTCGAGTACTGCAAACTGATTCCAGACACCACAATAGCCACAAAACTTGAACACTTTAAGGTGGTGGTGGTGAGAAAAACTATGAAGTTTAAGATGCCGGTTAGCAAGACTTAGAATATAATAATCGTATCCTCCAAAATTAAACTTCGAAGCATCCCAGTACTGCATCTGAAAAAAGAAAATATGAGTGTGAGATTTTTCTTGAAAATTATTCACAAAAAATCAAGTAGAAACATACATTTAAAACGAATTCTTGTAAGTTGGGAGCCGCCTCCATCAAATTTGTCAGTCCCATATCACTTGCATAAGTATTTCCAAAATTAAAACTTTCATCGCCTGTTACGAACACCACCAACTTCTTCAGTTTAGGGAGTTGAATTGTGGAGGAAACTATTTCCTGTGAAATCAATCAAGTAAATATTAATAAGCCTTGCGCATCTCTATTTCTAAATAAAAGAAAACAAAACATGATAAAATTCTATCGTCTAACCTCAAACCCTTTCATCTCCAGCGTAAGAATCTCCAATTGGAAATCGCAGCAAGCAAAAGCAGAAAGTGCGACTGTGGTAGAAACTTTACTATATGCCCGACAAACAGATACCTCAACAAGCCTTGGAACATTCTCAAGCAATAGACATTCTACTTTCTGAAGAGTAAGTGAGGTGAGGTTTGGGGCGCAAACCTTAACCGATTTCAAATTGTAGCAGCGGGTTAACTCCAAGTGTTTTAAGACAAGGAATGGACCACCACAAACTTCAACGTTTAATAATTTCAACGAGCGATCAACAACCAATTCTTCGAGCATCGGACATTTACTTTGGAAAAACTTAATATCTTCCTCTGTCACATCAACAGATTTCAAACACAATACTTTGAGGGGCTTGAAATCAATTTCGGAACTAGTATTTTTAGTGAGCAACTCTTGGGGTAAAGAGCAATTATATCGGCTCGAGTCGCCTGTGGTAAGATCCAATTCTAACCTCTGCACGTGCCTCACAATTGCAAAATTAATCCATCGGTTAACGTCCTTCTGGAATTTTCTGCTCAACCTCAGACGGATTATGAAATCTTTCAAGATGGCGGCCTTGTGTTTTTTGATGACGGAATTCACCCATTTCACGTACTTTTTTCTCTTCTCTTTGCATGATTCGAATCCTTGTTGAGTCCCTTTTTGTAAAGAAACATGTGGATCAAAGTTTAGACGGTAAATATGTTTCCACAAGTTATGCCAGCGAGATGACAGAACACTAGTGCATACAGCTTCCTTGAGCGACAATAAAGATAGTATATCGACGAGAATGTCGTCCGGCAAACGACTTATCCGATCATCGTCACCGTAAACTATCTCGGCACACTATAGGGAAAAAAAAATAAAGAAAGATATAAAAGTTATAACACTCTGGGGCTTTTGTGATTCTACACCTGGTGAAATAGACCACATAATCTCACACCATAGATCTGCACACACTGTTTACGGACCAATTTTGAGAAGCCATGAAGAAACGGCGTAACACAAGCACACACATACACGTGCTTGTGGAAATTAGATGGTACGTACAGCTGGTTACTTACGTTGGTTGGATTTGATCCATAGATGTACATATAATCACACACCCATTCATGTGTTTGTGTGCTAACAAGATACTTATTCAATCAAATTCACCCGGTGTAAATAACCAGGTGTAGCATACCACGCTCTGGCAGGTGTGTGTAGGGACGAGTGGATTAGAAAACAATGTGTATATCTAGATTGAAGAAACAAATAAATAATTCCCCAAAAAAGAAACACACAATCAGTTGGTTCAAATCGAAGAAAAAAAATAATAGCTAGCAATGAAGGAATAAATAATTAATTTGGTTTGTGGAGAGAACTCACCTTCTTGGTTTGAAACTTGGCGACTCGCTTCCCTGCCATTATGATTCAATCTTTCGGATAATTAAAATTAATTACTCAGCGAGTCATAATTATTTATTCAGTGAATCACAACTATTGGACTCCGATTAGGAGTTTGTTTCCGAAAAACATGGAAATTCTGTTTCCATGTGTAAGAGAGAGAAACTCGTGTGGATTTCTTTCTTCTAGAGAAAGACACCTATTTTCCATGCTTAAATTCACATCGCATTGGTGGAATTTTGGAATGAAATTTTCGAATTTCGCCAATTTCGAACTGAAAATATTCCAATTTGAAACTGTTTTTTCATTCCAATTTTCGAAGTTCCGATTTCTGATTCTTCGAATTTATTTGGAAGAGTATTGGAATGATATATAAAATTATCGGAAATTTCGATTTCTGATTCGATTTTAATTCCAAATATTTCTATGGTTTTTCAAAACGGTAAATCTTGTTGGCCAGATTCTGGCCAACCAGAATAAATCAATTTACTGATATACCCTTAAATTATACTTAATTATAATTTATTTATTTTCTCTCTATCTAGTATAATCCATGCATATTTGCCGTAACTTAGGCAATAAATTGTGTTTGGAGAACAGAGGAGCCACCCAACCCTAAGCTCTTTCTCCTTCTCGACTTTTAATGGAATTCTCTATAATAATAATAATAATAATAATAATAATAATAATAATAATAATAATAATAATAATAATAATAATAATAATAT